CCTTGTTCCACTATGATTTTTTTCTTTTCCCTCTGTGATGGCTCACATACATAAATGAATTCAAATGGGAAACTTTTATATGACAATTGGAAATGAAAACCAACTGTACCAAAAAAAAGGAAGAAATATATATGTATTGCAGTGCGTTAAAACAGCGCAGCAATGCTATCAGATTTTAGCTGGATGCTTTTACTTCTCTCTCTCTTTTTCAAGTTTATTTGTTATTTTTTAGAGAGGGCAACATAAGGTGAAACGAAGTGGGAGGCAGAGGAGAGGAGAGAATCAGCGATCTGAAAGCTGTCCGGCACAGAGCCGACCTGGGGCTTGAACCTGAACTACTCATGACCTGAACCAAAATCCAGGAGTTGGATCTGCTGGACTGATGCAGGAACCCTACCTTCTCTCTCTTTAAAAATGGAAGATGGGGTGTGAGCCTGGTGGCTCCGTCCGGAGACAAGGTAATCACGACTTCCCAGCTTCAGTCATGATCTCATGAATCAAGGAGGTTAGGGAGCTTTGGCATGTGTCCCGGGCTCTGTGCTGACAGCTCAGGGAACTGGAGCCTGCTTGATTCTGTGTGTCCCTCTCCTGCTGCCCCTCCCCTCTTGCATTTGTGTCTCTGTCTCAAAAAATAAATAAATAAAAAATTTTTTAATAATAAAAAACTCAAAATGGAAGATGAGCAAGTAATAGGAGCAATGTTAAGGACAAGCCAGCAAAAAAAAAAAAAAAAAAAAAAAACAAAAATGAGCAACCAAAACTGAGGCTTCCTCCTGGAGCAACCAAAAAGAGTTTGAAGGGGAGTGAGAGGTGTTCCCATGATGTGATTAGTGTCATGGTACTTTTTTATCCCCCGTCACGGTACTCATGGGACCTGTGAGAGACACATGGCCCCGTCTGATGCACACCACCCTCAGCATGAAGATGGTGGCACGATCTCACAGGGGGGCTCAAAGCGTTTCACCCATTCTTTCACCACTGGGAAGTTTAGTGCTACCTTGGAGGTTGCACGCACTGTCTCTCCTTCTCTTTTATCATTTAATTATTGTGTATTGAGAGAGACAGGGACCTGCGCCAGGCAGGGGAGGGGCAGAGAGAGAGGAGACACAGAATCCGAGCAGGCTCCGGGCTCCTGTCAGCACCAAAGGCCAGCCAGCAGGGGCTGCCGAACTCCTGGACATGAGAGAATGGTGACCCTGAAGGCAGAAATGGGGCAACCTGGACTGGTGCAAGCCCACGGAGGGAGCCTTTTCTCTTCTGGACTCTTCTTGGGTTGTATGCAGGGACAGCTGCGCTCTGCTTGGGCTCTCAAGTGGGTTTGTGTCGCTCCCTGGAGATGGATCCTTCATTATAAGTTCTATCTCTCCAACGTGATTAAAGAGTGGAGGCCTCCTGGGATTAATTCATGCACCTGATTTGCAGATCCCTGCCCACCATTATCTTTATTACATTGGGAAGGGTCAGGTACACTGTAACCTCGCTGGGCCTCAGTTTCTTCATCTGATAAATGAGGAACAAAAGCAAGTAGCTCCTTTTGTGTGGTTTCGAGAAGTAGAGTGATGTGTGCCTCTGGAGACTGACGAGCGTGGCACATAGGAAGTGCTCAGTATTTTGCTTTTTGTTATTTTCTGTCACCAGGCGCTGTAGGCTTCTCATCCTCCCTTACCTTCTGGATGGGAAAGGCGGAGGACTCAGGGTTCCAGCTTGGCTCAATTATCCATTCATTGTAGAACTCAGGCATGCCCCATAGGCCCTCCTGGGCCTCTGTTTTACTGCATCTGAAACCGGGGGCAGTGGGCTCTCTCCACCATATGCGCCCCTCCTCCATCGGCTGAATTTGGGTAATTCTATTACCCAGAAGACAGAAAGGAAGAACCCAGGTCAAAGGCGACGTGAGCGTGTCGCCCGTGTCAGCCGCCGTGTGCTTTAAATATTTATCTCTTTCAGAGCGTGATTTTGTCCTGTCAAACAGGACAACTCATAGATTCGGTGGTAGAGGGGGCAGAAATATGCCACGCAGTGTGAAAGCAAGATTACGCTTTATGAAATCCGACAGATGGGGAAGCCATAAAAATCGCAGTCTCCTGAATTTATCAGCTCTGAAAGATGATGATAAATTGTGGTGTGACCATAACGGAATTACTTTGCACCATCGCCAGTGTCTCCACCGCGATATTAGTCCGTCGATTCCCCAACGCTCTTGTGACAACCCGGTATACGCTATGCTCATCATAGCGGAGGCAGCTGTGGTAGGTCAGCATGAGTAGCAATTCCGTGTTTGCTCATGTAACATTTCAGTACCAGAGGCGTTCCGTGGATGGCTCTCTCATCCACCCAGTGATGCGGGGACGAGAAATCTTTCTATTGGCAACGGCTCCAGCTCCCCGGGATCGGGCCTTTTATCTCGAGGGGTAGCAGAGGAGAGAGAAAACACATCGCTTTTATTTTGTATTCTCAGGTTAGTTCACATCCATTATTCGTCTTTGGATCGGGTAGAATTCAGTGATTCATCACTACGTATGTCACCAGTGCTCATCCAACAGGGAGCCCTCCTCCAGTACCCTCACACCCCTTCCCCACCCCGTCATATTACTCAGTTTGTTCATGTTTAGAAAGTCTCTTATGGTTTTGCCTCCCTCTGTTTTTATCTCACACATTTTTCCTTCCCTTCCTCTGATCATCTATTGGGTTTCTCACGTTCACAGATGGGCGAAATCAAATATTGAATATCTCTGTCTTTCTCATGAATTTCAGCAGCAACATAATGTCTCCTAGTAGTTCCCCCCGTGTTGTGTGGCAAAGACTAAGATTCTTTTTTTGATTGCCAAGTAATGCCTCCGTGCTTTTTACTTCACCATATCTACCATCACATCTTCTTAACCCCATTCATCAGTTGATGGACATTTGGGCTCTTTCCATACCTTTTTGGCCGTTGTCGATAGTGCTGCTGTGGTACAATGGCTGGGGAGTGCATGTGCCCCTGCATCAACATTTCTCATGCATCCTTTTAGGATAAATTTCTATTCCTTGCAGTGCCGAGATTAGTCGTAGGGGTAGTTCCGTTCTAATTTTCTGGGAGGCTCTGCTGTGGTGTAGAGCGGCTGCGGGTCTCTCGACTTGAGACCTCTCGGGTTTAAGCTTGCAGCAGACGC